GGGCTGACGACGCGCAGAGGCTCGACCCTACATCTTGATGTTTTACTTGTCGAGTGCCTATGGCAAGTATCTCAAGGTGTGCTCTGAGGCCCACCAGCAGGCGGGTCTCCCAGAGGTGCCCACTAAATTCAGATTCCCGGTGCACGCAAACCCCAGAGGAGGCCTGGAAATGTGCCTTTTTAACAAGCCCCCTCGGGCAAGTCCCATGAAGTCAAAGGCTGAGATCTCCTGCTGCTGGGAGTGACTAGATTGAAGACAGCAGTCCAAATGCAGAGGCTGTCTCAGAGTTAGCAAGTGCCGCCTGTCCCTTAGCAGCTGTGTCCGACAGACCTGATAAAGCACAGAATCTAATCGGCGCGGGCTGGGAGGCAGCTCTGCACCCGAGGCCTCTCGCGCCCGCAGCGCCCCCCTCTTCCCCGTGGGGTCGGAGGAGCCCTGCGTTAGTAGGGGACTCTCAGGATGCTGCCACAGCTGCCCTGACCTGCTCATCTGGTGTGAGGGAAGATGCATTTCATCTGTACTGGGTTTGGAAGGACCCCATGGGGTGGCCCTGCATTTTTCATAAGCAGCCAACCTAATTCTGGGTAGTTTCTGTTGCGAGCTTGTGAACAACTGCTTGTTGGGAATTGTCGCAATCAGCTTGGTGTCCAAGGTCACTCACAATCATGTCGTGGCCTTTCTGCAGGATCTGACAAGGATCTGTACATGTGTTGATGCTGTTTTTCTGCATTTGCCTAATAATTCTGTGACTTAAAGTGACTCCCCACCTCTATGGCCCCTGTATAGATAGGGTGAAATCTCAGCACTCACGTGACACGGGAGGTGACAAGAGGCATCTGGTAAAGGCTGCTACGATTTGGATTTTCCTTCTGCGTGTGCAGGAGGCTCGGCTGCTCAGGCTTGTGAACCCTCGTCCGTAGCAGAGCAGCTGTCACCTTGCCACGATTATAACTGATCATTCTGTCACTTATCTTTGTTGTATCTGCCCTCATCTGACCTGACCTCATTTCCTGTGGATATTTTTTATTTTCCTTTCAAGTCTTGACCACATTTAAGTCAAAGAAATCTTTTAAAGAACAAAACCCAAACTCACACCAAAGCCACAAGGGGGAGAGAGGAGGGAAGCAGTGATTTCTGTTACAGGAAGCATAAATAAGAAATGACGGGTGTCCTGGAGACAGGGAGGGGCATCTCAGAAGACAGAAAATGAGAAGAGACTGTCTTAGGGGAAGACATGCAAATACTTGCCCTTGTGGGCACAGGCTGCTGTTTCTGATAACCCATGTCTGAGGCAACAAGAAAGAAATTTTAGATGATAGAAAATGCGCACAAGACAGGGATTCTAAATAAAACATTTTTTAAAGCATCCATCCATCTGTTCTGGTGAAGTCTCTGGAGCTGGGAGACAACTCACCTTAATATAGGAGTAACTCCCCTCCTGTTGAAAAAATGCCTGCACCACAGTTTCAATGAATAAAGGAGTCATCTGCCATCTTTGCTGCGAACTTTAGCTGATGAGTCAAGTTGAATCTTTTAATTAAAAATTGATCGTGTAATAACAAAACTTAAACTCGTAGTGCACCTTTTCCCCCCAGAAGCTCACAGAAACTTCTTCACATCAAATTATTCATCTCCTATAGCAATCCTGGTTAAATCTATGGCCCTCGAAATATTTTAGTAAGTACCTAAAAATAATGCTTGCTGAATGAATTCATTTTCTTTCCCTGTTGGTACTCCACAAGGTACTGAGCCCAGAAGGGTTAAGCACGGGGACGTGGCAAGCTGGGGCAGGCACAGGGACTGCTGTCCTGTGCAATGTTCGACCTCATCCACCCCTGGACAATGAGGGAGATGAAGTGCAGGTGTCAGGGATAACCGAAATTCCCTTGGCGGGGGGGTGGTTAGAAATACCTCTGTTCGATCTCCCACTGCCCAGAACAACTAAAATCGAATGTCTTGGAGAAAGTTCCAGGCACTGTTACTTCTGAAAGTTCCGCGGGTGGTTCTGGCATGCAGCCCGGGTTGTGTACCCCCAGGGTAGGAGAGAGCGTCCTGAACTGCGAGTCAGAATGTGGGTCCTGATCCCGGTTTATGTGCCACATGACTTGTGTGAGTCACTTAAATGCTACAGGCTTTAGTTTCTTCATTATAAATGACAATACTGACATCCTCTGATGCTGAGAATTAACGATCCCTCAGGAGCTCTGTTTAACACTGAAGAAAAGTCATGTTCTCTTTCCCCTTGTAAAGCACTATCAGACCATACCCCTGCCTGAGTGAGTCTCAAACTCCTTTTTTTTCTGTGTTTAAGAATCAGCTGAGAGTTAAAAAACATGCAGTCCTTGGCCTCACTCCGAACATTCGAATGTGGGAGGTCCGAATGAGTGCCTTTAACAAGCTCGCGATGCAAGCAGGCCTCGGCGCGCATTTTGGGAACCAGAGTCCTGCGTGAACGGGACTCGGTGTTCAGACAGAGAGGTGACAGCGAGGTGACGTGGCCTGAACGGGCCTGTCCGTAAATTGCCATTTAACTCTGGGAAGGCTCTTTACTTCTCCGAGACTCAGTTTTTCCTTTGGTCAAACGAAAACTAAATCAGAATGAGGGCCTGGATTACATGATTTCCGTGAGTCCCTTCAGTCCTGAGACTCAGTGATGTCATTTACTATGACATTGTGCTGTTTGTAACTGATCAGAGTCAGGCTTTTGCCACAGAAAAAGAAGGTAGAGGAAAAAATGCTGGCTTAGAACTAGTTCCATCTGTGCTGCTTACTTATCAGCTGCGTGACCTTGGCAAAGTAAGCGAACCTGTTCGAGCCTGTTTCCTAATCAGAAATTGAAGATGACCAGAGGGGAGTGGGGGGAGGAGAGGAGGAAAAAATTAAAAAATAAAATGGTAAAAAAAAAAAAAAGAAAGAAAGAAAATGAGGACAGTAAGACTCTTCCTGTTGGGTGGTTGTGCATGGTAACTGGGATAGTGAATATTAGATATTAAACAATAATGACCTATAAAAATGAGATCATTTGTTATTATTATTACTATTACCACCACACAAAAATTCATCAGCCTCTAAGAATTAACCTGACAAAGGGAAACAAATGAATCCCGCTGCCCTCACTATTCACCCAGCATAAATCCTGGTCAGCAAGTAAAGGCCATTTACAAATCAGGGGGCTAAAAAAGGGTTGGCTTCTTCACTGCTGCCCGACGACACCCATAGTACAGGTGTCCCCTGTCCCCCTGCAAACCACGTAGAATAGAGAAGGCTTATTAGAACATTAACGATGATGACTTTTCTTCACCATCAGGGCGATCTCTTTATACAGGTCTTTCAAAGGCCAACAAAATCAGCATTGATATTCAAAATCAATACATCACTATACTTACACAGGCAATGCCTGTTCCTCCAAACTCTCAAAATGACGATTAGAACACAACAGCATCATGGCCACTCGGGTCCTGGACCCCAACTTTGGAAACACGTGGTCTTATTTTCAGTTGCATAATGACAAAGCCGGCATCCTCTGCTGTCCCCACTTCCACGGCCCCTGCCCAGACATCTGGGGCTAAGTGTGAACGACGCACACACACGTATACAGGTGAAGGCCCCCACTCCAAGGCCACTTTTCACTCTCTTTCCAGGAATTACGACATATCAGCCAGTTATGTACAGGGTTGGAAAGAAGCTCATCTAAAAAGGGATACATTTTTCCCCCGCTTCGGATGGAAAATTAACAGCAGGCCTTCATCTCTGGGCCTGTCGGTTTTCTTTGCTCTCTGATGTCCTTGAACTTGTCTGCGTTTTAAGCACTGGGTATCCGTGGCCAAACGTTTTTAATTAATAGAATCTTATGGAAATCACAGCTGGCATGCACTGCATGTAAGAGGAAAAAAAGAATTTATTTTTTAAAAACCTTGATTCTTTGTATTAACTTTGGCTTCTTAAAAAAAATACCTTGAAAATAAAAGCAAAGATAGCAAGTACTTTAAGGGGAGGACACCATCTTATCCATCCTTTACAGTTCCCATTAGGAGGACCGTGAACGGTCAAATTAAATTATTTTTAAAATTTCATAAAATTAAACCAGACTAATAGTTTACATGTCATTATTATAAAAGCTCCATCCCAAAATAAAATGAATCATGGTGTTAAGAGAAACAGAAAACTCATTTCTGATGAACTCGATGAAATTTAAGTTCTGTGCTCCGTGGTAATTTGGGGCTAGAATTAATTATTGATTCACGCCTATTCCTACATCAGCCTTGCCAATCCTTGGAGATACATAATCAACAACTTGGCATTCCAATTAGTTAAACTCAGCGCATTCTTTTAAACTCAAAAGTATCAACAAAGAGTAAACAAAAAATATATGTATTTGTAATTTATATATATATTTGTTGAAACATATATTTGCTGAAATATATATATTTGTTATTTGTATATATATTTGTTGGATATATACAGATTTAAGGATAATTGCTAGAAGTAAAAGAATATCTTGTCCATCTGTCATTGCTTGCCACATTTCTTTCTTTCCTTCAATGAATCACACCTAACGGAGAACTGATAAGTCGTAATTGATTTAATCCGCGGAGTAACATGCATCACCTGTATCATTATATGTAGTTTGGGTCTAATACATTTACTGAGCTTTTGATCGAGTAACATGGAAATGAGTGCAGAGTTGGCAGCCCAATAATAAACAGCGCTAATGTTATCTGAGTGGCTCTCTCGCATTGACAAAAACAGTGATAAATTGGATTGTAATAGAGATAGAGAAGAAAGATGATAACGCTGAGATGAATTTATCTGCTACCCCGGCCCTCACCACACACACGGGCTGCTCTGTCTGCGTGCAGGACTAGCCCTGAAACACACAGCAGCCCAGGATACTGACCCCTCTGGCACACAAAGCCTTAGACCCGAGGCCACAGAAGGGCAAGCAGACCACGAGAGCGGCGTCCCCAGGAGAGGGAGGGGCGTGGGTTTGAGCACTTTACCTTCTTGCACGCAGACGGGTTTGTCACTCGGGATCCAGCCCAGGGTTCCGTTAAGATGCTTCATACACAGTCTCTTCGTAGAACCCTTCAGCTTGAATCCGTCTTGGCAATGAAATCGGGTGACAGAGCTTTCAAAGAATACCCCTTCGCTGGGCGTCCTGAAGCCATTCTCGGGGACACCTGGGTCAGCACACACCTGAAGGTCATCGAACCCTACGTTGACAGAGAGAAGAAAAGCTACCTCTGAATATGTTCTAACGCCAAGGGTCTGCCCAGATAAACGACAGACACTGTGTACTCTCCCACACCACGGACCGCCCAACTACGCCAGCCGAAAAGCCGAGAACATAAGCATTCTAGTGCACGTCTCACGCTAAGGTCCTAAGAGCAGGGAGATGGGGGAAAGTCAACAACAAAAGAAATACGACGTGGTAAGTGCCGAAACAGGAGAGTGACTGCTGAGGGGAGCTTAGGAGACCGAGGTGGTCCGCAGGGTCGAGGGAGGAGGAGGAGCCTGGCCTCGAAGGGGGTGTAAGACGTCCACAGTCAGAACTAACTGTGCAGAGAGGCGCAGATGGTTCTAATGGGAATGGCGTGAGTGATGGCCGGGGCTGGAGAGAGTGGGCCACGTTGAGGGGGCAGCAGGTAGGCGTGACAGTTACACAGAGACGGTAACTTCCCTGCCCCTGCTCCACCTGCCAGGACTGGTTCTAGCACTTCCTCCTCTGAGGTGCCTTCCGTCAGCCCAGGCTCCCCCACCCAGCCCTCCTCATCCCAACGCAGTAACGTGGACACAGCCCCGGACTGTGAGCCCAGCAAGGACAGGTCTCGTGACTTTTTCATCCCTGTATCCCCAGAATCTCTCATGATATGCTCCATAAATGTTTGACGAATGAATGAGTAGTTGGAAAAGGGAGTCGGCGACATATCAGGGAGACCCTAGGAAGCCCAGCCAAGCGAGGAGGCGACTGTGGAGCTAGGGGGCAGGGCAGCGGGCACTGGGAGGCCACAGGACAGCAGCAGCTTGAGGGGTGAACTGAAGGAGAGAGTGCCCCGAAGCTCGAAGCTCAGGCAGGAGACCAGGCAGTGGGCAGGTCAGAGGGAGGAGGCACGAGGTGAGAGGCATTTTGGCTCCGCCCCTTGTCAACGGACTGGAGGGCGGGGTGAGGTAGATGCCCATAGGGCTCGGATGAGGCAGGTCCTTCAAATGAACATGGCTGGCTGGGGAAGCCAAGGATAAAAAAAGGGGTCCTCTGTGTGCACAGTGAACCAATGTACCCCTCAGTGCTACGAAGGCATCCAACTCCATTTCCTACAAAATCAGTGGACGATCCTCACTGAGTAGGTACCAAGAAGAGAAACGCAGAACTCCGTCCAGATGGGGGCTGAGGTGCCCATCCACCCTCGACTCCAGCACAGCTGCTGGTGCCAGGTGGGGCTGGACACCATCGAGACGCAGCAGAGGGCTAGGAACAGCCTGGGCCATCCGATAAAACCCCAACAAAGACCCAGAAGCCAGTCCCCCTGGGGCTCTTGGAGGATTTACCTGGTTTCCAGGTGATGCCCAGATACTGGACTCATCAGACAGCTGAGTCTCTCTAACACGTTGAGTTTGCAAAATGTCCTTAGCTGGTAGGTGATTCCCCCACCTCAACTTCTAAGTGCTCGTGTGGGACTCACTTGCCGCCCTCCCCAAGTGGCCCCATGATCCCGAACATTCTGTCAGTGCCACCGTGCTGAAAGCCACAGTGGCAGGATGTCCAGAAGTGACAGTTCGAGCATGCTCCCTGCAGAGGTCACAGGCGCATCGTGAAGCAAGCAGACAGCCGAGAGGGAGGCGGGGGGAGCAGACAGCACCACAACTGACTCCACCACACCCCTAAGTGGACACAGGCCGGACATTTATCACGCAGAGGACGCTTTTTTATTATTAAAGTATAGTTGACATACAATCTCCTACGAGTTTCCGGGGTGAACACAGCGATTCAACATGTCTATGCCTTACCATGTGATCGCCATGATCAGTCTAGTAACCACCTGTCACTGCACCAAGTTATACGATATCACTGATTATATTCCCGGTGCCGGACATCCCGCCCCTTTCTTATTTTAGAACTAGGGGTTCGTACCTCTTATTCCCCTTCACCTTTCTTACCCATCCCCCGTCCCCCGTCCCCTCCGGCGACCCTCAGTTTGTTCTCTGCGTGTATGAGTCTGCTCAGACTTCACATGTGAGCGCAACGGCGGAAGCTTTTACGAGGCATCATCCAGCCTTCTCGCCTTCTCTCACGCGTGGCAGCAGCTCTGTCACACGGTTGGGACCAAGCACCCCAGCGACCCAGCGAGAAGGCTGTGCCCCAGCTTGCAGAGAGGCAGGTAACACCTGCGGGGGAGGGGCAATGAAGTATTGCCAAGTCATTAAGCGATGGCTGCATGTGTTTACGCCAGAGGAAAGTGTTGTAGGTTGTCGAGTGCTTCCTAAATGATGGCTGTCGGCAATCCCCCTGAGGCTAGCAGCCTTAAGGTGGGTCCTTGCAAGGTATATCCGTCATAGCGTCGAGGTGGCAAAACCAGCAGCCATGGAAAGCAATGGAACCCCTGATGCCCTCGCAGGCCAAAAAGCCTTGCAGCATAAACGCACAGGGTCCCCGGTGGTGTGGACACTTCATTCTCCCACACATGCCACCTGTCAAGGACCCGGCTGCTTTAATGGCACCGGGGAGGGGCGAGTGCATGTCAACGGGTCGGCCGGGAGGACGGGCCAAGTCTGTGGAAGGGGCTCCGGCTGCATCCTCTGGGAGGAGCAAACGCTGGCCAGGCAGGGGGAGGAAGGGCAGCTCGGGGAGGGGGCGGAGGCACGAAGGGGGAAGCAGCTGAGCACGCGTTACGTGTCAGGAAAAGAGAGGTGTGGCCCGAGGCCTGGGCCCGGGGGGGTGAGGGAGACGAGAGATGGAGGCCGATCCCGAAGGCCGCACGTGTTAGCTAAGGTCACACGTGACGCGGGGGTGGGGACCGAGAGTTCTGACCAGGCACGTGACCAGGTACTCTCTCGTACCCAGAGGGAGCTGGGAAGGTGACCAGAGATGCTTTCTGGGCCAGCAGCTGCATCTCAGGATCACGGGGGCCGCATTATACGAAGACAGACCTACCCATCCTGCCTGCTCCAGGAGGGGAGAGGCCCAGGGCGGACACACTTTTACAAAGCTCTGCACGTGACCCTCGGGCGGCCGGCCCCGCTCCTGCGTGAGGGCCAGCGCTCGAGAACTGTGGAATATCGAGGCCACTGCAGGCATCCAGGCGAGAAACGATGAGTGGGAAATCAGGCAGGGGTGATGAAATAGGGCTACAAGAGACGTTGAGGACATTGAGGATCGGGGACGGGGTCGGGGAAGGGGTCAAAAGAGAGGCATCCAGGACGGCTCGCCGGTCCCGATGCTGACGGCGGGTAGACAGACGGGCCGTCCGTACACGCAGGTTGACAGGACGAGGTGAAGGGTGGTCCAGGGGCAACGAGGACAAGTTTGGGGCGGTGGTGGGGGGGGCGGTGAGTGTGAGTCTCAGGGACACCCCGCAGAGACGTCTAGTGGTAGCTGGTGAACGCGGTCTGAAGCCACACAGTGCCCTGAGCAGGGCGTCCGTGAGCAGGCGGCAGCTGAAGGCACCGGTGGCCGCCCTCCTGGGAACACACACAGGGTTAGGGACATGTCACTGAGACAGAGACCCCTACAGGGCCATCGAGGAGGAAGGCCTGACTGCTGTCCCTGAGCAAGGGAACGGGTTCTACGAAGGAAGAAATGGGTGGCAGTGTCAGGGGTCACCCAGAGGTCAGCTAAGCACAGGTCTGAGAAGCATCCACATCCGCTGGCTGAAGAGGGACACTTGGGCCAGTCCCATCAAAAGCTGTGGTAGTGACAGGGAATGAGCGTGGCCTTGTCTTCACACGTAAGGGACCCCGTCAACCCCTCGGTCTCACGAGGACGCCTTGACACTTCCGGCTTGGTTACTTCGGAATCTGTTGAAACCTACCAGACAGTTTTACTGTAAGCGATAGAAGAAGTCTTTGAAAAGAATCGGAAAAACGAAAGAGGTATGTAAAGCCATCTCTTGGCCGATTAAAACTGAAAAGTCATATTCTAGAAAGGAAGAGTGTATCCAACGTAGCCAAATCACTTTGGAACTGGGGCTGAGTTTTTATTTCTCTGTAAACTGCTCTATGCGCCTTTGGGGAAAGAAACAGGATATAGACAGAAAAAAATGGGGTTTTTTTATGCATTTACTGACTGAGAGGGTCCTGAGACTAGGGAGGAAAGGGCGTCCCTGCCAAAGTTTAAACGGACATGGTTGCAAATTTTAACTGGAATCAGGTGCACCCCGAAACCCCTCCCTTTACCCCTCCCCTTCCCCACAGCATTCACTGTCAGTCTCTGGCAGTTGGCATTAAAGTCACTTTAACGGTCTCTGGTCTGACCCCTTTGTCTCCCAGAGGAGGTCACCAAGGCTGACGCCCGCCCCTCACCACCCCCAGAGACGAGGCTTAGTGGACTGGGGCTGGGAACTCTGACTTGTCACCT